TTAAGAATTAGCTTTCTTTTGTATGTTCTCCTGTAATAATCCAGATGATGAAAATACTGTTTTGCCATTTTCAGTCTGGTTTCAAGGCATTCTTTTATATCTGTAACCTTACAACTGGACTTTTTCAATTTTCAAACTCATCATCTTTCTAACAGCCAAGGTTAAACCTAATAAGACAGAGCAGTTTCGTTTTTTTTCCTAATGAATTGTACAATCACAAGATTTATAATTGAAAGTGGAATTTCTAGTTTTCATGTTTCATTCTATCTTTGGATAGACAAACAATATACATAGTCATATTATATATCTCTTTACCTCTGTGCGATATGGCTATCTCTTTACTTCTATGCAATATGGCTATCTCTTTACCTCTGTAACCTGGCTATCTTTACCCCTGTTTGATATGGCTATCTTTTTACCCCAATCTGATATGTGTATGTTCTTATTAAATATAAAATCTGATTAAAATGATGAGGTTTGTTGACTTAGGTCTATGAATATATATGAATGTTATTCATAAAGTATTCTCACTTCATAATATTTATAGTAATTAAATATCTCTATCTCCAATACAAAAAGTGATTGTTTTATTCTTCAGTGATCTTTTTTTTTTAAGTTTGTGCCTTTCTCATAACAAACTAAATGAAGGGAATTAAAATTGATATATCTGGTGATCACAGTATTTTTTAAGTATCTCATTTATATCACAATCCTTTTAATTTACTAAACATTTTAAACATATAAAGAATTTGTTTTGTGTAGTCATTAAAATATCTAAAAATTATATACAAAGATATATATTTTTTATTCAAAGACAAAGTGGAGGATCAGATATTGAACAAATATTTTTTTTAATCAGATTGCTAAGAAGATCATCAATGTTTTCTTAGGATTTAAAACATCTTCTTCAAATCTCATTATATTTTTTTAAACAAAACAAAACCAATTAAAGCATGGAACTCATCAATGAAGTGAACTGTTTAGTTGAAAAACCTCACAAAAATACGTCACCATAGAAGTTGTTCTGTTTTTTCTTGTCAGAAATATAGAAAATTCAATAATAAAAAATTGATATTTTATCAGCTGGTAAAATTTACTCAAGTTAAATTCAATTCAAGGTTAAAAACAAATTTAAAAAAAAAAAACCTGTATTTATTGTTTTAAAAGAAATCTTCATTTGACTAAAAGTTAAATTATTTCTCAGTCTATAACAAATCACATCAGGATATTTTAAGCTAAGCAAACTGTCTTTAATAATCACTACTAAATAACAATAGAATGTGTTGCTGATTTTCTTAATATTTCAGTCTTTATAACCATAATATTTAGAAATATATTAATAACAATCAAACTGTTACAAAAATATATCTACTGTATATATTCAAGGATATGTTGTACATTTTCAGCAAAATTTCGATAAAATCAGGTGTGCAACCTATGTGCTCAACATCATAGAGAGACTATCATTTTCAAGTAATTTTAGGACTGAAATGATTACTGGTATTTACATTTTTGTCTAAACAGAGCAGCTCCACACTCAATAAGTAAATACCATGCAATTACAACCAATCACTTTTCTTATGTTTTAATATATATAAGTAAAGTTTCGAAATAAAGGTGAATATCTGAAAATATTTAACAAATATCAATTAAATTTATGTTAAAAAAGGGCCATATAGCTCCCCAGATTATAGTGCAGGTCAACTGCAAATGTCCACTTTGACAACCCAAAATTAATGGTGTGATCTATACCTAAGTATATACAGTACCAACTATTTTCTCATGTTTCAATAATTTTTACATACATTTTGAATTTGGTTACATTCTTTATATTTGGATAAACCATTTATTCTGTCTATCATTTACATTGATAATTGTTTTTTGTTTTTTTCAGTCTCAGAGATTACAGTGTCTATTCATTCCACTTTCTATGATTAGGGGATATATCATGTGTTCTCTTATTTTCTGACTTTTTTCTACAAGGTTTGATGACCACACTATTTTCTCCATACATGATCAGCCATGCCAGATTTTAATGTATCTTCCAAGACTAGCATTTTAATGTACACTCACCCTTACCTTTTAAAAAGCAATTAGTTTTGCCTTTGTATTCCTTTCCACAATTGCAGAGGTTTGAATACCTTCAGTTCTTGGTTATATTTTCTTTTAGAAGAGGTTTGTTTCAGGAGAGACATTTACAAAATGTTGCACTGCTTTTGAATACCATGCTGATTTTATATGTACCACAGATCCTTTGAATCTATCCAGATATACCCCCCTTACATATGATACACAAGCTATCATATTATTGACTCTTTTGTCCCTGTTCATGAAAGCTGATGTTATACTTACTGGATAGTTTTTACTTTGAAGAGTGCTTTTAATCAGAGCTGGTGTAAGGGTTTTATGGCCCTACCTCCAATCTATAATACAGGCCCACCTCCTGAATCTATTACATCTCAACTTTCATATTGTAGTTTATATATAAAATACAAAATTTATTGTAACATAATTATGCACAATAATGGATCATATGCAATATAGGTGAATAATTCAACTAGAAAAGATGAAAATAAATACAATATATTTGCATACAAATGAGATATGTCATAATAAATCATTCCATCTTAAATAAATCAACAATATTTTACAGCAATTTTTAACATCAACTTGAGGTTTTTCTTGTTAAAAAGTTGAATAATTTTAACACATTCAACATTATGGATAAAAAATAGTGAATTTTATATAGCAGTTTTTCAAGACAAATTCATGGATTTGGACAAAAAAGACATCAGAATGATGTCAAAATATGCAAAAAGTTTTCATCATTTACTAGTCAACTGTGCTTAGTTTAATTTGTAATGTATATCAATGAAAGTAAAAAAAGCAAATATTGAAGAGATAACACTGCCCAAGCCCCCAATCAAGCTTGAAGGGTTGATGTGTTCGGGGGTAGTATTCACCAACCCTGCTTCTAATCCTCATCATTATCTGTTGGTATATGCCTGACTGGCCATGTTTGGTTTGATACTATAGGCAAGAGATAATCCATTTATAGTTGTCATATTGATGGTAAGAACTGGAGTTTGGATATTATCTGGTGAGATATGTATGCTTTGAAACATATTGGGAATTATTTGTACATCAAGGAAGGCCAGTTGATCTGCTTCCTTTCCTATTGTGTACTTTATCAAAGGTCCTACTGATTCTACATGTTCCACTAGTGCTTGCACTTCTTTCTAGTAGTGTCAGAAAATGAAGGTGTCATCTATGTATCTAAGCCACATGAGTGATTTTATTAGTAGTATTCCTATAGCAATTTCCTTAAAGTATTGCATGTATATGTTTGCCATTACCAGAGATAATGTTGACACCACAGCTAAATCTTTTTCTTGTTAGTATTTCAAAGAAAAATTAGAAGCATGTTGATTTATCAATCAGGACACTCATATACTCTCTAAGAGAAAGATTTGGTTGGTATGAAGGAAATATTTATGATTGTCTCCACAAAATAGACAGTTCTTTACATATGATAGACTTACTTGTTATTAGTTTGATGAGGCCTACACAGTTTATGTTCAGTGGTTGACGGACCAAGTCTTGATAACTGATTATGAATTTCAGTATCTTTATGATTTTTTTTGAAAATGTAGTATATATGGTTACTGGTATATTGCGTTAGTTGCCTGTATTCATTCATTGTGAATTAATCTTTGTTCTTGTTAGGAATTTTTGACAGCTTTCTCTCAGCTTCCATTTTTACCTTACTGTAGCTACTATCACCAATGAGACAAGCCAATTTTAAGTAAAATAAGTCATCAGCACCTTTGGAATGAATTCAAGATAATAAAGACCAATTCTGGTAACTACTAAAAGAATCAGCACACATGCTAGGCTCTGACAACTTTCTCAGTAGACCTAGCTTAGAAATAATGCTGAGAGACTCTGATTAAGGAAAGATACTCAAATTTCCACCACCTGGATAAAGATACTTAAAGATTGAAGGCTCTCAAATTAGACTATTATATTGCCTGATTAAACACATAGCCTAGTAGATTAAATTGTTGGTTGAAATATATTTGGTTTCCTGGTGGTTATGAACTCAGTCCTTGGATCAGGCAGTGCAGCAAATTCATATACTTTTATTCCATGGAAGAAATAGACAAGCCATGCAAAGGTGAATAAATGAGAGATAATTAACTGCAACAAAATATCCCCATAACACAGAAATCAGAATGAAAATGTTCTACCAACATGGATTGAATGAAAGCTCAGTTTAGAATTTCAAGAAGTTTATCAAGTATAACAGGCATTTGAAGGAGTCCAGTGGATTCTTCTTCTATGTGCTGTGTCCTTTCAGGATGTTGGTAATCAAGTCTTTCCACAATTCCCTGTCCTTTGTAGCTCTTAAGAAATTTTATCTTTTTGTTATCTCTCCCTAAACCTTGTTCTGCCAGCCATTTACTCAAGTTCACTAGGTAGGTTATGTGTTGTTTTTCTCTGTCTCTCTCGTCTTCAATCTATCCTGTGAGTATAAAATTTTCCAGACTTTCTTTCTTCATTATGTCCTCTAGAAATTTCAACTCTCTCATGATGTTAAGCTTAAACATCCTTTTTGCTTGCATTTCCTTTAAAACTTCATTGTTGTACACATGTTTGATCCATGGTATTTTCAGTATCCGTCTACAGAATGACTTTTCTGTTGCTTCAAGTCTCTTCTTCATCTGTATGGAGATTGTCCAGCATTTACTGCTGTGTAGCAGGACTGATATTACATAATAATTCAGTACTCTTCTTTTGTTTCTGACAGCGAAAATATAAGCATAACAACCAAAATGATTATATTAGTCAGAATGAAAAGGCATATAAAATTCATAATTAACTAATTTAGTTAAGAAATGTCCTTATTTTTATGATTGATTGATTTGTTTTTTTTATGGCTTATCAGCCCTTTGTAGGTTTTTTAAAGTCAAAACCTATTTCAGATTATAGGAGGTTGTCTACAGTACCCAGTGTTCCCAAGTGGACTCCAATCTAAGTACTGTCAGGGCTCAACACCACTTAACTTTGTTGATCAAATGTGGACCAGTGTTTTCAGCATGGTTTGACTGCTTTATTACTATGAAAAAGGACCATATTTCATATAAGAAAAACTCTAAATTGCTTTTGTTATGAAATTGATAAAATTTAACATTAAATAAATATAGCAATAACCTTCATTTAAAAATAGAATTTGAGATACATAACAATCACAGAGAAAAATTAAATTTATTTAAGAAAAATGTTTATTATTATTGATGAAGTCAAGGTCAGAATTTACTAATGATATTTCTGCTTCCTCAGAAACAATAATTCTTTTAAGGTTATATGTGCAGTTGAAAAGCTCTTAAGCATGTGTGTTTCTCAAGTCTTCCCTCTTTAATCATGTTTCATGATTCACTTGTGATTGAAGAACACAAGTCAATGGCCTCTCAAACTCTATGAATCAATTTTGGAACTTCTTTTCCCTCTTCATTTTGACCTACTTAATCTCTTTAAATATCAGGCATATTACATCTATGGAGAAAGGATAAATTGTTTCCATGAATTTAATTCCTTCTAGACTAAATCTCACTTTCCAAGAACAAAGAATCCCCCAGAAGCAATAATTCCTACCATGATTCATTATTGGCAGCCACAATCTTAACAATGTAAGATATACAGATGACACAGTGCTGATAGCAGATATGGAAGGGAAGCAAAGGAAAGTGAGAAGAAAGGAATAAGCATAAACTACAAGAAGACAGAATGCATGGCAAAGGATGAGCCCAAAATGTAAATTACTGGTCAAGGATACTAAAATCAAGCAGGTACAGAAATTTAAATATCTAGGAAGTGTTCTAACAGAGGATAGAATGTGTGACGATGAGATCCAAAGACATATTGGGATGTCAAAGTTAAGCAGAATATTAAGAGACAAGAAAATTTCATTGAGTTGTTACACCATATTTGTCCTCCTGCTTGGCAGTGAATACTGGACAATCTCCTCAAAGACGAAGAAGAGAGTTGAAGCAACAAAAATGTAGTTCTACAGAAGGAAGCTGACGATACCATGGGCTGAACATGTGAGCAATGACAAGATTTTGGAAAGAATAGAAACAAAAAGGAAACTTATACTTAACATCAAGAAGAGGCAATTGAAATTTCTGTGGCACATAATGTGGAAAGAGTCCTTGGAAAATCTAATACTCACAGGACAGATAAAGAGAAAGAGTGACACAGGAAAGCAGTGCGTGACATACTTGATAGGCTTGAGCAAATGGATGGAAGAACAGGGTTTGGGAGAAATAACAAAACAACAAAATTTATTAAGAGCTACAAGGGACAAGATGTGGTGGGCCATGATTGACTACATCCTGAAGGGACACGGCACATAAAAGAAGAATAATCATGACAAAAATGGTCTATTTATGGTATTTATCAGTCGTGATACTATTACAGCTAATACACGTATGAAAATGATGTCTCTTTAATTAAAAGTGTTCACTGTGTGACACCTTACAAAATAGCATTTGTATTCCCTTTACACTTCATTTGTATTGCAATAAGTTCATATTTTGCATTTCTAAAATTAATAAAGAAACCTCCTTTTTTGTGTTAAATTAGATTCAGTTTGCTGTCATTTTCTTTTATATACCATGCTTCTTCAGAATATGTGTGACTATGAATCTCCACAACTTCCAGTTTTTTGTTACTGTCAGTAGGTTTGCTGATCATCCAGATCACACTCCTCCCTGGTCTTTTGAACAGGAGTAGATGTGTATCCCTTGTTTCCAGTTTAAGATTAGGTTTCTAGTTAGTTCTAAAGTCTACTTTCTGATTTTAAGCATAAATTTCCTTGTAATTCTTATTTTTCTTAAAACATTCTTGTTTTTATCACATGTTCTCTGTATACTATTCTCAGAATTTGTTAGTAGAACCTAATCTATTATTTCAAGTTTCTTCATCATCTGTGAAATTTCACTTTCATATGAAATTAGAAATTAGCAGCTCAACACTCATTTCAAAAGCATGGACAAATTGTAAAAACTCTTTTCAGAAACTAAATGAATCAAGTAACAAACAGTTTCTGAAAGGAATTTTTACAATTTGTCTGTGCTTTTGAATTTCTGTCATACTCTTCAGATGGTTAAATTTCTCTACCTGCTTGATTTTGACATCCCCAATATATAACTGCATTTTATGTTGTCTCTTTTGCTGACAGCCATTCATTTTGTTTTTTTGATATTTCTCTCCTTTTTATTTCTTTTACTACCTTGTTTAAGAGTTTAACACAGGAGATAAATAAAAAGATTTGATAAAAAATGAGCATAAGTGATAAAAATTGCCCCAAACTTAATTAAAACAAAGTTTAATTGTCAAAACTTTTAGGCTATTAAGAGGAAAGGCCAAATGATTTTTTGATTATTAAATTATATTTTTGGATCCAATTTTAAAAACTTTAAAATTTTGGTTAAATATTTTTTTTCTTGCATCAGTAGGTGACCTAAATAAGTATAGGGAATTTTAGCATTTTTTGTGGTGAAAAACACATTGATTAGGAAATTCTTAATTTTGATAAATATTGTATTTTTACAGAAATTGTTTTCAATTTTAAAAAAAATTTCAATTTGAATTATTTATAAAGTTTGAAATCTTAAAAATTTCTTTATTAATTTATACTGGTTAGATGATATTGCTAAGTAAAAGTATATTTACTAATCATAAATGGAAAAGCTTACACAAATTCAACAAACCCAAGTATTTTAAAAAGTATTTTGAATTTTGTGTGTGTGTGTATGCATAAATGTTCTGATTTTTGTAAATATGAGTGTCCATACACAAAATTATCAGAAAATCAGTGCGGAAACTCTAGTAAATTTAAAGCCAACATACCTAAAATTCAATAAAACATTAGGTTACTTGGTATGGTTTCCTAAAATTTTAAGGTTACAAGAGTAGTTAAAAAATTATATAAAAAAAAGGTGTTCATGTTATATTTGTCATATTTTTAGTGATGTAAAAAAGTAAATCAATCAAATAAATTTAAGTATTTTGCTTATGTAAATATTAAATTTAATCTATTAGCTTGAAATTAAAACTAAAACCTTCAAGAATAATTTTTTATTTAAAAAAATTCATTTTAAATGTTATGTATCATTTTTCTTTGGATGTACCTATATATATTAATTCATTAAGTATAGCTTAGATGTGGTACAAGGCTGAAATTATGGGGAACCCAGTGCGAATCAAAATCACTATTCAGTCGTAATTGATCTAGCAACACTACCTAACCAATGACACTATGTCGAAGTCCCTAGAGATACCTTAGATATAAGCCAATTTAATCAAAATATTGACCAAATGTCATACTGACTAAAGTTTAATAGAATGAATAAACTCATTTATCAGTTCTTACAAGACCAAGTCAGAAAATTTTCAATATGTAAATTAATGTCTTTTTAAATAATATTCATCCATGACTCAAAATAGTTAATCAAGAAATTTCCATAATCCTAAAATTTGTGTTCAAAATATTGGAATTAAATCTGGCCAAAAAAAATTTGAGATATATGGAAATCTTTGAAAGATAATAAGGGATAAGAGACACAAATCACTGTCAGCAATGATGACAGATTAATTTATCAAAGCCCTATTATTATGTACTGCAAGAATAATAGATTAAAAATAATTTGAAATAATTTAAATATATAATGTTAACTAATGTCTCATGAATTTTGAATCATAGTCATTAACTGTGCTATTTTTCCTTTGACACCCATTTTAAAAACCAGACTCTGTACTGACAATATCTGGTATCCTCACTGAAAATTATATAAACTAGATGACAAAGATTTCAGTGAAAACAAAGTAAACACAGCATTAGGGAGGAACCTATTAATCGATTTGTAATCAGCAATTTAATCACTCTCAGTAGGGACTGACAAAAACAAATTAATGAAAAGCTCTCAGAATATTATTTAAATGCATTCTATGGCCAAGATAACTGATGATTCATTTTGTTCTTGTTAAGCCAAGAATGAAATTTATGTGATGTAATAAACAAAGAAGACCAAGTACGAAAACCAATTAATCAGCCAAAAATAAAGCCAATGACCAATTAATCAGCAAATGCCGATCTGACCAATTACCAACTATCAGCCAATTAATTTGTGCAACCCTACATAGCATACTGCCATGAAATAGTAACTTAGTTTCTTGGTTAACAATGTTCATATATCATAAGAATGTTGACTGTTATTATATATGCAATTATTGTTTAATCTGAAACTGAATATTATTTCAAGTTCACAAAATAATGCATTAAAAACATTATTGTGCGTCATAAACAGAAACTATTATGTGGAATTAGAATGAAAGCAGTTATGGGACATACACTGAAACCCTCATAATAATTCAGAATGTGGAAGTAGTAAATACTAAACATTTCAAATAACTCATTGTATAGATCAAATTTAGTATAGGTGATCAAGAAATTGAACATGGAATAGGCTGTATTAGAGTTTGTTTCACCCAATAGAACAAATTGAAACATTAACCTAAAAATATGAGTTTTGTTTTAAAATATGGCAGAGTAAGAAATTTAGTGCCATGCATGGCATTTATAACAAATTCATTCGCACACATCTACACAGGGGTTTACATGTAGTGAAACTAGGAGAGAAAAGAATGAGTATAGAGAGGATTGAGGAAAGGACAAAAGATGAACAGGATTCAAGAAGATAGCGATTGATGTTGCATTTAAATTTTTGAAGATTGTAGTCATCAAGGTGGGAGTTGCAAGAAAAGAAACTATTGGAGTAGAAGTGGTGGTTGCATTTAACTATTTCAACAGTAAATGGTTGGAACCTAGACGCCAATCTAGTAGCATGTTTAAATTCATATAGTCAAGGCACTAGGTGAAAAAAGCTTGTGAAACAAAATGTTCCAAAAGAACCGTTCCTCCCATTAATACTGAAAAGAACAGTAACAGTGTGCTTGAGAAACCTATTTTCCTAAAAACTTGTTTGCAAAGAAAAGATTTTATAAATTTCAATAGACTGTTCAGTCAATGAATGCCAAATCTTTCCTGA